AGAGGGTGAGAGGTTTTTTGCCTCTGTCAAGCTCTTTGCAATGACGTGGACCAGTTTGTGTTTCTGAACCTTGTTTGTCTCTGAAAAATAAACCATATAAGCAGGTGAAAGATGATCAGAACTGACAAAAATTCCCTCTTTGCCTTTAGGATCAAGCTTCTTTTTGTTTTGCTCATACACCATACACTTTGAACTAGGGATGGGGCCAATCCAGTATCAGTATCGGCCTCCGATACCAGAATAATTTACGTATCAGATTTTTCCTATCCAACCTGCAGAGATTTCCGATCCATGATGCATGTTGGCTTCAAACTATGAACTGGATTTCCTGAACGAAGGCGTGTCTCATGAGCCCAGAGTAATAAGACCCGCCTCACATTCAGGAAATCCAGTTCATAGTTTGCAGCCAGCTACAACGTGAGGACTGAGTTAGCAGCACTGTGGCTAACAGCTAACCAACTTTTCATCTAAACATGTCGCTGTGTGGAAGTATTTTACACTAAACACCACAAAACAAGACAGCAATGTGCAATGTCTGCAGAGCCATAGCGCCACATTAAACCACGTTAAAGTTAGTTTTACGATGGACATTCGAGCTCTGTGGCTTCAGCGTGGCGCTGCTCTTGCTCAACCTGAAACAGCCAACTCGACCCCGGTCAACCGTGCCCAATCCGCTCTGCTAAGTCTGCCCGTCTCTGAGGAGGTACAGACTTAGCGCGATTGACCAAAATCAGACTGCCTGCGTGGACTGAACAAGAAGAAGACATCGCTGAAGCCTCGGAGCTCGAATGTTTACCTAGAAGTTGCTAAACTTCATCATAATTAATGAACAACCACTATCAGTTGTAGAAAACAAAGGATTTTGCAGCTTGATTCTTGCAGCCAAGATATAGTTTACCCTCCAGGAGATATTTATCAGTACAACAGTAGACAATCATAAAAAAACATGATATAAAAATTACAAGAAAATTATATATTTTTAAAAACTAAACAAAAACAGCTACATTATAAAGTGATGTAAAATACTAAAAACAGGTCTGTGTTGGTTTATGCCATGAACTTAGCAGATGTTTAAAGCCATTTAACATTTTATTTTATTTATTTATTCATTCATTTAAAAGAAACAAAATAAACAAAACAAATTAATCAAAAAGAAAACATTGAACGAAAAGAGTGCAGAAAGAAGAAGAAAATTCTTATATCTGCCACTTATTTAAAAATATATTAAATAACTTTAAACAATCACTTAAATTAATCACTTTAATATCCACTTTAAAACTAGGAATAAAAAAGAAACATGTTTTGTGTTAGCAGAATGTAATTCTAACTTTAAAACTTAACCAACATTAATAAAACTTACCTCAAGTTGCCTTTTTGGACATGCATGTATATATTTGTACAAATTGTACTTGAGAGGAGATTATTACAGCCTCATATAAAATCAATGATGATCATGATATCGGAACTGGATCGGTATCGGTTGATACCCAGATCTAGGTATCGTATCGGATTGGAAGTTAAAAAAAAAAAAAAAACTGGATCGGTGCATCCCTACTTTGAACCAAACTTTTTCATTTTTGACAGATCTGGTCTCTCTCTCTCTCTCTCTCTAAATAGGGTGTTTCCCTGTTCTCTTATATTAACACCTGTTCCTTATGATTGCAGCTGTCCTGGCTGCATAAGGCCACAGCTCTTTGGGTAACCCTGACTCAATCAGGATGCAACGGACCATTTCAAATAATGTGCACCAATTCCTCTCTGCAGTCCCACTTTGATCGGGAAAGTAGGGCTCTGACCTCTCATGTTTTATAGCTTTGTCCTTCAATAGCGACTTGTACTCCTTTGACACAAACTCTGTCCCGCTGACTGACCTCAGACATTTTACTTTACCATAAAGTGCTGTGTCTGCTAAGAACTGCTTAGTTGCTTCAACTGCCTTGTTCTTGTTCCTAAGGAAGTACACATAGATGGCACCAGAAAAATCATCAGTTAAATTGATGGCATATTTGTACCCTTCAAATGTCTCTGGTACAATAGGCCCACCCAGGCCTGTATGTATTAGCTCTAATGGCTCTTTGGCTCTCACATCACTTTGTTTTTTCTTTGGGAAAATTTACCCTCTAGACAAGTTTCACATTGGTTAGGTCTGCATGTTTTATCTTTGATTTTCATACCATTTACTACTGTTTCAAGTTTTACAATATCATCATAGTTACAAAAACCCATTATCTCGTGCCATGTTTTTAAATCAAAAGATACATTTCAGGAGTCCTCACTGCTTACATTTTTCTCTGGGACAATGTCCAGGTAGTACAGTCTGTCTTTTGCCTTAATTTTACATGTTGTGCAATCAGGAAGGACCATTTTGTTGTTATTCTTTTCAAAGTTGAATTTTGCTTTCGAAGCTGCTGCATCCACAGACAGTATGTTCTGTGGCTATCCAGGAATCAGGAGCGCATCTGTGAGTTTGACACTCACCTCTCTCCTGTTGCTGTCAGTCAGCTCAACTCGTGGGACTCCTTTCTTCAGGTTGCTGCCGCTGATCTGCGTCCCATCTGCCAGCTGCCTGACGTGGTTCTTGGACCGGAAAGTCTCGTCGAATCTGATGAAAGCACTTTCGTTGGTCATGATGTGGGCAGAGGCACCGCTATCCACCAGTACACCTTGCTGCTGTGTGCCGAGGGGTTTCCATTCACTCCCCCAGAGCACAAACATCCCTTCTTCATCCATGGGTTTGTGTCAGTCTTTAGCACGAAGAGTTCATTGTCCCGTGTCTGTAATAGTGGCCACCTTGTGCCATCATGAAGGACCCCACCCACCCAGCACACACACTTTTTGCCCCACTACCCTCAGGAAGGAGGTTAAGGAGCATTAAGTGTAGAACCACTAGACTGAGGAACAGCTTCTACCCTGAGGCTGTTAGACTCATGAATCTTTAACTAGAATAATCACTGTGAAAAACCATATCATGTTGCTGCTGATCTGTTTCATGTTGCTGCTGATCTGTTTCAATGTTGATGTGTTCATGCGTGCACATCTGCTCACAGACTCATGTTCATGTTTGTGCTGATGTTCAATGTTTTATGTTATGAGTGCTTAGTGTATATTTAGTTGATGTTTTTCTTAGTTCATATCTTAGATGTTATTACTGTTTTTCTTAGACATTTTATTGTTGGATGTAACTGGGACCCTGTGAACATAATTTCGCTCCACCACATGTACCACATGAGGTGCGAATGACAATAAAGAAACTCTGACTCTGACTCTGACTTGTTGCTGTTTTGCATATTGGTCACTCTCCACTGAGTTTTCTTGTCTTTGTTTCAACAGACTTTTGCTTTATTCCCCGTTTTCTCACAAACAAAGCATTCTCCATTGCAATATTTTCTCACTTAAAACTTAGGTTTCAATGTTTTGTAATTTGCAGTCATTACTTTGTCTGTTCAGGGCCTGCTATGGTATCACAATTAGCATTCAAAACTTCTCAGTCTTGCCTTGAACTCATTGAAAGATAGTGTTTCTCTCGTCTGAGTGACATTAACAGAAAATGGGTTGTAATCATCCATTAGTCCTTTTAGCACCATTGCCATCAGAAGTGCATCACTGAGAGTCTCTTTAGCTCTGTTTCCTGTGGCTACTATCTTTTCAACACTTGCAAAATAGTCCACTAATGCTTCCCCGTAAAGCATTAGCACATTGGTTAGCTCTGTGTACAACCCGACAATTTGCTGCTTTTCTTCAGACTCAAAATGGCGTCTCAATATTTCTAGGCTTTTCTTGCCATTGTCCGGTGCTTCGTACAGGATTAGTGTTAGCGTTTCCTTGTCCAAACAACTGCACAATTCTGCATATGCCAGTTCATTTTTCCTACCGATCTCCATCGCTTCTTGTGCATTAGCTCCTTCTGCTAACTCACTTCCCACGATAGCTTCTTTGAGACGAGTGGTTTTTAAGTACGCTTTAAACCTTACATCCCAGATGTGGTAGTGGGCTTCATCTCCATCAAATTGTGGTGGACGTCTCGTTCCATGCGTTGTTACCGCTGAAACTTTACAGAGCCCATAACCTGTTAGTATTTCTGCAGCGGGTATCCCACTGTTCACACAGGAAGCTCCTGGGTCTTTTTCACCATCTGCAGCTTGTGTCGACATCTTTACAGATACATTAGCTTACTTTTAAGCTAATAAGACACAGGATACATTATTCCCGGTTTAACTGGAAGCCACACCACTCCGTAGTTCACCGTAGCTCACAGAGGCTCACAGACGCTCACAGAGGCTGACAGAGGCTGAGGGGTGGTGAGGCTCCACCTTTATTGACTTCACAACTCCGTGTAACCTTCCACTTCACAAAACAGTGCCAACTAAAATACATCAGTGGCATGCACCATATTCAAAAACGTCACATATAACCAATTAAAGTAGCATTACAGTGATTTTTTTCCCTTAGTGATTCTCCTGGTTAGAGATTCATGAGTCCAACAACCTCAGGGTAGAAGCTGTTCCTCAGTCTAGTGGTTCTACACTTAATGCTCCTCAACCTCCTTCCTGAGGGGAGCAGGTCAAAAAGTGTGTGTGCTGGGTGAGTGTGGTCCTTCATGATGCAGGTGGCCCTCTTCCTGCATCTGGAGGTGTAGATGTCTGTGATGGTGGGGAGACTGACTCCAACATCTTCTGTGCAGCCTTCACCACTCTCTGCAAAGCTTATCTTTTTGCAGCTGTGCAGCCTCCATGCCACACGTTGATGCTGGAGCACAGGATGCTCTCCACCTGTAGAAGGAGGTGAGGACTGAGCTACAGTACTTACAGTACTTCCACACAGACAGCTCCTTAATTTGTCAGTCAATTTAGAAAAATAAACTCTATTCAAACTGAGGTCATTCAAATGACTAAAAGTACAAAAGAAAATATTATATACAATCTTCCCACAGAATCTCACTTATAAAGATCTGATTTAAGGTTGTCAACTAGCTGCTGAACTACAACTTCATTTTCCATTAGGTTTGAGTGAAGGACATCAGAATGGTCAGTGCGCTGACTTCAACAGCACCAGATGGCTGTACCGACAGCAAAGAATTAAACTGCAGGTCCAGTACCTGCTGCTGACCCGGGAAAACCAGGACTGTCCACAGAAGTTCACCCAGGCTTCCCTTTCCCAGCAGTCATCTCACTTCAATGTTTCCCATCCTACAAAGGTCATCATCCATGGATACAGGTGAGCAGCAGACTCCTGAAGGTTATGTAAACTCTTTTTGTTGTTTGCTCTTTTTTTGTTTTTGAATATTGTGTAAATGGATGTAACTCTGCATTTGTAATCCAGTTCTTAGTTGCTTAAGAGTGTTTAAGAATAAAACTAGAGCATCCAAATTTTTCACTGTTTGTCAAATCCCCACAGTCATGGGACACAAACAAAAAACTGTCCTTGTTGTTTAAATTGTGACTTTTTGAAGTTTGACATTTACTCAAAGCCAAGTTTTAACTAAAAAAAAAACAACTTCACCAAAGCTGAACCGAGTCATAACTGGACTAAATGAAAGAACTGTTCTTCAAATTACTGCTTTCAGCAAGCAACATATTTGTTTTTGCATCTTTTCAACCCTCACTCTGTTTTTCTTTGGTAATTTTATAAACACTGAAGACTAGGGGTTGGGGGAGGGATGATAGTAAAGACAGAAGAATCCAGATTAAAAAAGCATTGTTTTTCTCCTGCATGAGCACAGCTGTTTGAAATCATCTCCCCAAAACCATTTAATTTTCATTACTTATTTAAGGAATGTTTTCTTGTTTTACTTTTGTAAAGTCATTTGGTTAGCAACACATTTTTAAAATTAATGGCTCAGTACTCTGACAACTGATCTCCTCCTCACGTGAAGTTCTCATCCTTCTCCACCCTCCAGAGTCCCGGGAACTAAGCCGTCCTGGGTTATGGAGCTGGCCCAGGCCCTGCTCAGGGCTCAGAATGTGAATGTTCTGGTGGTTGATTGGGTCTATGCTGCCTCCTTTGCATACAACGTCGTAGTGGAGAATTACAAAGAGGTGGCTCTGCAGATCTCTGTCCTTATCAATCAGCTACAGGTAATAAACAATATATATTTACTGCAGATGTCAGTGATAAAATGCTCACATGCTGGAGGACAAACTGACCACACTTTTTCACTCTGCCACTGTCTTTACTTACTCTGCTCAACCTGTTTTGTACAAAGTTGAATAATGATACTTATAACATCATTAGAAAGTATTTTATACAGTACGTGGTAATACAAGATGCATTTAGTGGCCACCACAACCCAATTGAGTGTGTATCTGAAAAACCCTTGAATTTAAATACCTGTGTGAGCATGCTTGTCAGTATGTTTTCTCCATAAAAATGTTCAATAGTGGATGTGGGGACCCACAGAACCATCCACACAGGACACGATGGTAACACAGGGAAGACCAGAGCCACAGACACACAGCGGCCCCCAAGCCCGGATTTCCGGGAGTCCCCCGACAGGGACAACTGCACCACCCAGAGAGAAGCAAAGGGAAGCCCCAGGCAATCCCCAGCAACCACAATGCAGAAACCCCAGGAGGCTGCATCGACAAGTCCACAGGCCCTGCCGGCAATCCGCCCCTCCAGAGTAGCTCTGGCCATGGACACTGAGCCCCAAGTCCCGAGGTCATACCACACCCCAACAGAGGCCCAACAGAGTCAGGGCACCCAGGCCCTGGCAGGCAGCCACAAGGGCTGGCCAGCACACACCCCACCACCCAACCCCAGATGCAGAGAGCCGAGAATGCACTGGCGGCAGGGGCGTGCACCACTGGAGGGGAGTGCGACGGGGGAAGTAGACCTCACATTCCTGGGGCCAGAGCAGCAGGGAGCAGCAGCTGAGGAAGGCCGGCCCAGCGCACCAAGGACCAGGCACCCCAGCAGCCCCACACCACAGGCCCGGAGAAGCCTCGGCATGCCACCTACGCCCCCCCCCCCCCCACCACCACCACCACCACCGCGAATGTCACACCAGGCCGACCAGCCAGCACCCTGTCAAAGTGAAACCACGCCCCCGACTGCCGCCATACACCAACAACAACCACACACACACAACCACAGCTGACCCCCTGCCAGAACCCGGCAGCCACCCCAGCAAAAGGGCTGGCCATCGCAACCAGGAACCTTGATCGAAAAATCCAAATAACCCAGGGAGAACCAGAGCACCGGCCCCGCCCCAATCGCCCCTCAAGGTTCAACGCCCACCCACAGCCCAGAGCGGCCTACACCCCCTCCCTGCCTCCGACCTCAAATGTCAAATAGAGAATGGGGGTGTAAGGAAAAAAAAAATAATAATATGTATATATATATATATATATATATATATATATATATATATATATATAT